GAGGATCGCTTCGAGGCCGGTGCATCGGTGCCCTCGGCGGCGTCGGCAGGCTCTCGGTGGCCGCCGGTGGGGCGGGCTGCTTGATGCGGCTTGCCCTGGGCGTCGTGTCGTCGTTGGCCTTTGACGCCGGGGCGGGCTGGGATGCGCTCGAGTCGCTGCGTTCGGGCACCGGCGGCGCTTCCTTGCCCACGGGCGCTGCACGGCGTGGCATGGCAAGGGCAGATAAAGTAGCGAGCGGGGTCAGCTGCCCTGCGTTTCCCCAGTGCGACGCTGCGATGCAGGCCGCGGACTCACCTGGAGGACCGACCATCATGTCGTGGGCCTGCTGAACCATTTCCGAGGCCTGGTGGACGAGGTCGGCGGCGCTCTGGACCAGGTCTGTCAGCATGGTGGGGACAAAGGCGGAGAGGTAGCCTTCTTCGCCAGCGTTGGCGGTCGTGCTGGTCGTCGAGGAGGACGAAGGGGTAGCAGGAAGAGGGGAGGGTGAGGATGCCATCGTGTACGGTGTGATACGAAGCGAGGGGCGCCTTGGGGAACGAGGGGGAGGCAGAGGCCTGTCACGAAACAGCCAGAAAGGCGAGCCAAAGAGAGTAGTGTCGGGTCAATCCGACGCTGGCCGTGGGCGAGGTTCGACAGAGGGGCCCAGCCGGTCGCTGTGGTGGTGATGAAGGCGGTCGTCGTCGTAGCGGGACGGGCCGAAGCGGGGTGAGGTGCGTTGGCAGGATGATGTTGGTCGCTGTCGATTGTGCTAAATTTGGGCCCCTCGAGGTGCATGGTTAATAGGGGGCCGCCACGTACACAAGCAAGGCGCACCGGCGGGCGAATCAGGCTGCAGGCGGGCGTGCCGTCGGTCGCCCTGTACGCGACCGACCATCACCACCCCAGCTAGGTAGCTACGCCAGCGCCGGTTTGCCCGCCGGCCGTCGAGCTGGGGATCCGGCACATCCGATGAGGGCAACGAGCAGCCAGCCGGTCGGTCGGTCGGTCGTCGTCGTCGGTTGCTCCCGATGGCAGGCTGGTGTGGGTCGATGGAGCCAGGAAGGCGTACGTACGTGTGTCGAGTGTTGGTCTAGAGGAGGGCCAGGGTCCAGCCTGGCCCCCTTTGCCAGCCGGCCACGCCACGCGTTGAGCTGGCCAGGCCTCTGCCTGCATGCGGCTCACCGTCATCCCTGCCTGCTGCCTCTAGGCTGGCTCTCGCCTGCACTGCCCCTTGTGCGATGTCGGCCGAGTGAGGTCAGCTCGGGGGGGCTCGCCTGCCTCCACTTGGCGGTGGCCTTTGCAGCGGGCGTTTCCCCCACGCTCGGCTGGCCGCCGTTGGTTGGTGCGCCTGGCGAGGCGGGCAGGCCTGTGGGGGCTGGCTCCCAGACGACGACCCTCGTTGCAGCCCACTCGATAGAGGCTAGCTGAGCCCGGCCTCGTCCCCGCCTCCTTCTTTTCCCTCCTCCTCCTCCTCCTCATCATCATCAACATCGCTGCGACCGGCAGCTACGGCATCGAGCAACGCACACACCCACCTCTAGTCTGGGCCGCCACACACCTACAAGGGCTTTCGCGCATCCATCCACCTTCTGGCCGCGCGATTCTGGACGCTCGCAGCGAGGATCGCCCGGCACACACGCTGCCAGCTTGCCGACCTCGCACGCCCTTTGCTCCCTGCCGCCACGTCACCCGGCGGCCCCTCAAACATGCTGCTGGTGGCCCGCCATGCCGCCGCCGCCGCCGCCGATGCACTCCTGATGTGCGGCTCAAAGCAGCAGCAGCAGCAGCCTCCCGAGGGCGGGGGCTCGGGCCGATCCCTGCCAAACGCCCTCCTCATCGTCTCGACCCTCTCGGCCCTCTTTGCCACCCTGTTCAGCTTCTACCTCATCTGGAAGCAGCTCAAAAACTACCGCAAACCCACCCTCCAGCGCTACGTCGTCCGCCTCCTCGTCATGGTGCCCATCTACTCGATCGCGTCCATCATCTCGCTCTACTCGCTCAACCTCGCCGACGTCATCGACCTCATCCGCGACCTCTACGAGGCCTTCGTCATCTACTGCTTCTTCAACCTCCTCATCGAGTACCTCGGCGGCGAGCGGTCCACCATCATCCTCCTCCACGGCAGGCGCCCCCAGGACCACATCTTCCCCATCAACCTCTTTCTCCACCCCATGGACGCCAGCGACCCCTACACCTTCCTCGCCCTCAAGCGCGGTGTGCTCCAGTACGTGCAGATCAAGCCCATCCTCGCCATCCTCACCGTCCTGCTCAAGTCAATCGGCAAGTACGGCGACGGAAAGATCTCGCCGTCCAACGGCTACACCTGGATCTCGTTCACCTACAACGTCTCCGTCTTCCTCTCCCTCTACTGCCTCGGCATGTTCTGGAAGTGCCTCAATGCCGACCTCGCCCCCTTCCGCGTCACCTCCAAGTTCCTCTGCGTCAAGGGTATCATCTTCTTTTCCTTCTGGCAGGGGCTCGGCATCTCGATCCTCGTTGCCGCCGGCCTGATCCGCAAGATTGGGCCAGTGGCCGACCCCGAGTACATTTCGCTGGCCGTTCAGGATTTTATGATCTGCCTCGAGATGCCCATCTTCGCCCTCGGACACGCCTACGCCTTTTCGCACAAGGACTACGTCGATCCCTTCGCCCACTATGCCGCCAGGCTGCCCGTCTACTACGCGCTGCGCGACTGCATCGGGCTCTACGACGTCTTCAGCGACAGCCTCACCACCGTCCGCGGCACCGGCTACGGCTACCAGACCTTTGAACCAAGCGAGGGCGTCGTGCACCAGAGCCTGGCGCGCGAGAGGCGCAGCAAGGCCGGCCTGCGCTATACCCAGGGCGGCAAGGCAAAGTACTGGCTGCCACAGCGCGGCACAGGCGACCCGCGCGACGCCGCCAAGGGTGCACGCCACCAGGGCCCGCTCTCGACGGTGCGCAAGTACCTCGACCAGAAGCGCATGGAGCGCAAGGGCTTTGCGCCCCTCAGCCCCGACGAGGCGGCCGACGTTATTCACGACAACCCGGATGCGCCGCCGGACCACTCGGACGATGAATCCTCGTCCCTGCTCCGCCGTCCGCGCGACATGGCCCACTCGGCGCTGCAGAGGGCCGAAGAGGGCCTGCACTTTTTCTCGGAACGTCGTCCCGACGGCGACGACGACGTCGAGTCGCTGTCGTTTGACTCGCCCTCGTCGGATGAGGAGGAGCTGTACCAGAGGAGCCGCAACCTCGACCACGGCGATTACGCCTACCCGAACGTCGATGTGGCCAGGGAGGCGAGCCGGAGGAGTCGGTGGAGGGACGACGATGACATCGTCCATCGCCGGCGGAAGCGGGCGAGTGGTGACGAGGGGGGCGGCAAGGGCAAGAGCAGAGAGGGCAGCGAGGCCAGCGGAAGCGGCAAGCGGAAGCAGGGCGCAAGGAAGGACTCCGCGGACGGAGACGAGGGCCTCGAGCAGCGCGGCAAGAAGAAGGCGAAGAGCCCGTGGCTGGCGTGGGAAGCCGAAGAGAACAGCAAGGCTGCCGCCGATGCCACGGCCGATCGAGGCCAGGATGGGCCGAATACCGAGGCGTCTGCAGGAGAGGCGGCGGAGCCGTCGACCTCGACCTCAAAGTCCTCGTCAGCATCACCGTCCTCGAGCGGCAAGTCGGATGCCGACGAGACCAAGCGCGATCCATATGGAGCCGTCGATCTGGTGGTCGAAGACTTCAAGGCGGAAGAGCGCGAGCGGCTCCTCGAGCGACGACGTGGCGACCCTGCGTTGCGGGCAGGACGCAATGCGCGAGTCTTTAAGAAGCAGTACGAGGAGCACAACGGCGCGTCCTCTTCCGCCAGCGCCTCGTCTCCCTCCGCCGCGACACACTCTTCGCAGCGACCATCGGGCCCGGGTCGGCGAGAGAGCGACGGGTCGCGGTCGGAGCGCTACGCCAAGGACGAGAAGCGGATGGTCGATGCAGCGCTGGAGCGGCTGGACCGGGTGCAGGAAGGACACGCCAACCCGGAGCAGGCAGGGGCCGAGCGGGGCCAGGAAGAGACGATGGTCGAGCAGAGCCAGACGGCCTCGGTCGATCCGGGCCTCGAGGCCGATACGCCCATTGCGAGGACGATGGAGCCCAAGGCCCGGACGGCGTTTCGCAAAGGCGCCCTGCCAGGGAGCATGCGCAGCGTCACACGGCGCGGCAGCGACGAAGAGGGAGACGCAGAAGAGGAGGAAGAGCAGAGCAAGGAGCAGGAGCGGAAGCAGATCACCGCCGACCGACGTGGCGAGCCGATGCGCCATCACGGCGGCGGCAGCGATCACGATGACGGGGTCAACCCGTGGGCCTGATCGCAGGTACCACGGGCACCGTGCACGGCGGCCCCCTTTCAATGGCAAACCTGCCTTTCCCCTGCGGTCGAATCGCGAGCAACAATACCCGCGACAGCACATTCAGCACGCCCGTCAGGACGCTTTGATGGGAGTCGCAGCAGTTCCTTTGCTGCCAGGTCGATATCGCATCGTGGCGTCTGGCTCACACGACCACAGCCACGACGGGGAGAGGAACAGATTTTGGGTGTGAGGGGGGGTGGCAAGCGTAGGGAGAGTGAAGGACGAGAGCGGGAGGGGGCAGACGGATGGCGAGCGCGCACGCCTCTAGAGGTCGTCGAGGTCCTCGTCGTCGTCGTCGCTGGCCTCCTCGAACTCGACGTCTCCGCCCTCCTCTTCGCCAAAGGTCTCGGTCTCGTTGATCTTGGCCGTCTCGGGCAGCTCTCCGTACTGCTTGAGCGATCTCGCCTCGTCGGCCGTGTACTTCTGGATGACGTCGGCCTTGTCGTCCTGGAAGTCGCGCAGCGAGATGAGGATAATGTCGCCCTGGTTGATCCACACCTTCTTGCGCAGCTTGCCGCGGATATGCGCCAGCCGCTTCTCGCCGTCGAAACATTGCGCCTCGAGCCGGCCGTTGCCCAGCATCTTGAGCACCTGCGCGTACTCTGCGGGCGTTGCGGCGGGGCAAGGGGCGAGAGCGGGTGGTGCGCGGAGGATCCAGAGAGGTGAGAGAGGGGGGAAAAGGTGAGTAACGGCCGTTCGATGCACGACGTTGCCGAGCGCCACAATGAGGGCTTCATGGATCGACACATACCCTGGCCCTCCTCCTTGAAGACGAGCTCTCGCTTCTCGCCCTCGGTGTCGTTCTTTCCTCGCCTGCGGTTCTTGCCGCCCTTTCCGCTGTTCTGTGGAGGTGTACGGTGCGCAGCAATGATTGTGAGGAGCGCGGCGGGGACAGGATCGACGGCAAAGGCAGCAAATGGAGCGAATGCGAAAGAGAATGTTAGCTCGAGACGCTCAAAGGGTCGGTGTGGCGAGCGCAGCGGGTGGCGGCAAAGTGCAAGACCACTGCAAACGCACCTTCGGCATGGTGTGCTAGGTGCTTGCTAGGTTGTGCCGGTTAAGCTTTAGATACGTCGGGCGTTGTTCGGTGTCCTAAGCGCGGTTGAGGACAGTCCAGCTGATGCGATGAAGGTAGTGGCGGTGCTGGACAGAGTGGTGGTGGTGGTGGCGAGCATCCGATGACGATCAAGCAAAAGTGATGTGGGGGCCACCGACCAACCAGGGCCCGGATGCGAGAGCGAGCCAGCGGCAGGGAGCCTCTGAAAAGGACGCAGAAGGTGCGTCAGGCAGGGCGCCCAAGTTAAATCGGCAGCGGCTCTCCGGTGAAATTCAAACCGCTCCAAGGGCTCAAGGCTGGGACTGAGCTCCTGCTGGTTGCTCGAATTCCGCGGGCCCGACTGGCTCAGCACGCCCCAATTCAAAGTCGTGCCTAGCCCGACGCAACCACAATAGCCCGCTGCGTCAAAATTTTCAAAAAGAGAGGGTCAAGCCAGACGTCGACCGACGCCGGCGCCTCTTCCAACCGCACGAGAGGCAGCGATTCTCAGCTCGACGATCACGGCCGCTGCGAGGGAGCCGTCCTTTGACCCAGCCCAGCCAGGCGAGCCCGACCCGGTCAGGCCAGCACAGGCGAGCACAGGCCAGCCTTGGTCTTTTGGCCGCCGCGTGCCACGAAGCCAACCCCAGGCCCGACTTGACAGCCCTCCTCCGCTCGCAAGCGCAGCCCTCCGCCCGTCCCCTCTTTCCACCTTCTCCACCTCTCGGTCAACCCTCTTCGACAAAGCTCCTTCCACCCCTCTCTCCGCCTGGCTGGCCCATCGCTCGAGTCGATTCATCCCGCCGCCTCTGTCTTGTCGCATCGCACATCTTGATCGCATCATCACCTCTGCACGACCACGGACACAGCCTCGCCTTTCCGCCTTTCCGAGACCGCCATGTACCAGTCCGGCTACCCTAGCCGCTCTCCGCCGCCACTCCAGCATCCCATCCCCACGCACCCGCCCTTCCAGGTGCCAGATCCGCCGGTCTCTCCCAATCCGGGCCCGCGCAACTTGACCTCGTCCTCGACCGCCGATAGCACCGTCGCCGACCCCAACCTCTCGTCGGCACGCTCCCGCGCCGGCGCCGGCTCCTCGTCCTACGTCCAGGGCGGATACCAGCGCTTCAGCAGCCCGCCCATCCAGCAACAGGGCATCCACGCCAATGCGTATGCTCCCAGCTTCGGCCAGGGCGCCGCCGCCTACAGCGTGCCCCAGCCAGGGCAAAACTTCTACGCCGGCCAGCAGCAGGGCCTCGGCGGCCAGATGGGGGGCGCGCCGGGGTCCGCGGGTGCGGGGGCGCAGCAAGGGTGGGGAGCGTTCCCAGGCATCGGAGGCGGAGGATCGGGCATGATGAACGACGCCACGGCGCAGATGGGCGTCCAGTTTGGCCAGCACATGGCACAGGTCGGTGGCGAGTACGTGCAGAAGAACGTGAGTTACTCTCGACCGACCTCCGCTCACCATGTCATGCGCTGTGGCCGCTGTCCGGCGACTTGATATTGACGCTCTACTCGCCTGCTCGCTCGGACACTTGCGCACAGTTCAATGCGCTGCTTCCGCTGCCACTCTTGAAGCACTACTTCAACGTCTCCAACTCCTACGTCCTGCACAAGCTCCGCATCGTCCTCTTTCCCTGGCGGCATAAGCCGTGGTCGCGCGCCCACAGGCAGTCGAACAACGGCGGCGGCGCCTATGCCGGCATGGGCGGGGCCAGCCACGAGGCTGGCACGGGCAGCAAGGCGGCCGACGGCTACCTTCCGCCGCGCGACGACGTCAACAGCCCGGATCTCTACATTCCCGGTGGGTCTACCTTGTGGCGTCGGGGCGTTTCAACTGCTTGCCCTGCCGTGTTCTGACAACCTGGCTGCCCTCCCGTCTGCCCCTCAGTCATGGCCTTTGTCACCTACATCCTCCTGACTTCGATGATCTACGGCCTCGAGTCCCGCTTCCACCCGGAGATTCTCGGCCTGACGGCATCGCGAGCACTGGCCATCATCCTCGTCGAGCTGGCAGCCATCAAGCTCGGCACGTACCTCCTCAACATCCAGGGCGATCATACGTTCGTCGACCTGCTGGCCTATTCGGGCTACAAGTTTGTCGGCACCCTCGTCACCCTCTTCTTTGGCCTGATCAACGTGCGCGGCTGGATCTACTGGAGCATCTTCCTCTACTGTTTCGCCGCCAACGCCTTTTTCCTGGTGAGCTCCCGTTTCCGTTGGCGAGGCGCTGCGCTGTGCGGCGAGACGGCGTATTTCCACCATTGCCACTTTGCTGACCCACACCCTCGCCCCGTCGCCCCTCTTCCCGCATTCTTGGGCTGCGCACTGTCCATGCAGCTCCGCTCGCTCCGGTACGTGGTCCTGCCGGATCCATCCAACCCGAGCAGCGTCACGATCACGCACGCGCAGCGATCGAGGCGCATCCAGTTCCTCTTTTCCATCGCCGTCGCCCAGATTGTGCTGGGCTGGCTGCTCATCGTCGGCATTTTCCACTAGGCCTAGGCCCCGCGAGGAGGCCGGATGAGCAGCGCATGGCGACAAATTGGAGGTTTTGCCTCGCGAGGCGGTCGGGTTGCGGAAGGTAGAAGAGGCGAGGCGAGGCGGCGGCATGACCGGAGACCGGAACGGCAAAAGCACACAGGCATGTCCCGTACCTCGACCCGCACAACGGCGGTCGGCCAGCGGGGGGTTTTGGCCCTTCCGCCATGCCCACCGTTCGAAGTTGGCATACAGCAACCAGCAGCATCACCTTGTTCTCGGCCTTCCACGATGGCAGTCTGGCAGCGCCGCTCGCTCGAGCTGGCTTGGCAGGCAAGCGAGGCGGCGTGCAGGCCGACTTCAAGTCGAGGCGAGAGGTCACGATTCAAGGTCTGGGCATTTCGAATCCTTGGCGAGTCAGAGGCAGGCGATTCTAGGACGGAGCCAGAAGCTGACTGCAGCGGGTCCGGATAGATCGCGGCGAAGAAGCTGGCTGCGCGATGATCTAGTGGCCCTTCTTGACGCCGATGGTGTCCCAGGCAACGCGCTCGTCCTCCTCGTTGGCGATCTCCTGGACGTAGGGGGTGAGGTAGCGCTTGTCCTGCGGTGGCGGGAGGGGCGTGGCGTGAGAGGAGAAGAAGCAGCGACGAAGCGAGAGGGGTGAGTGTGTGCAGACCAAGGCGATGTCATGCGATGAGTGGAGATCGACGTACCTGGGAGGCGGGGGTCCACTGCTCCTTGGGCAGCTCGCGGTGGAGGACGCTGAGCTGGGTGGCCTGGCGGAGGCGGTAGGCGCGGTCGTAGGCCTCACGCTCCGGCAGACGCTTGATGGCCTGCGAGGATGGGGGGACAGGTTCGTGTGGGGGTGGGCAGAGAGACGATCCGTCAGCGCATGCACTGGCGTGGGCCGGGGTCCAGAGCGAGCACGGGCCGCGGGTGCGCGACCGTGTGCGGGACGAGCACTTCGAAGCGCACCTTCTGGACACGGGGCGACTCCTCGATGATGAGGTCGTCGTATCGGAGGCCGTGCTGCCTGTGACCGGCGGCCTGGGCGTAGGCGTTGGCCACGGGCTTGATCATGCGCAGCAGAGCCGGCGAGTTCTGGATGTACTTGGCGAGCGAGAGGCCGGAGAGTGCCTGTGTGTGGGTGGGGCGGAAGAAGCGGCAGCGTCAGGCGCAGATGGGTTTGAAAGGGGAGAAGGGGATGGGATATCAGCATAGGTTCGCTAGCTGGTTGCTTGCAAGGGGTGATAGTCGGTCGGTCGGTGGGTCGGCTGGTGGGCGAGAGGTGGCCGAGGGTGCGGTTTCGGTCGAGGTGGCGGCATGGCGAGTGAACGCAGCGATACATACGAGAACCATGATGGGCGACGTGTGATGTAGGGGTGGAGGGGTGGTGGTGATGGTGATGTCGATGGCGATGGCGGTGATCCAGGTTGCCGGGGTTGGGTTGGTGGTGGCGATGGCGCTCCGAAGAATTCGCACCCGGCCAGCCCGCGGGCGGCAGCAGGCCTGGCCTGTCTTGGCCTGGCCTGGGCAGGCGTAACAACGAGAGCGGCGGGCCAGCCAACAACTTCGGAAGCGGTGGCCACCCGCCCGCCCTCGCCCTGAAATTGAAACCGCGCGCAAGAGGCAGGATTTGTAATCCCGCCAGAATACAACCACCAAGCTTGCCAGCCCGCTCTGACCCGATGGCCTGGGGGGCCAGGAGGGATCACATAAGCATGACCGAGCAAGTCGCTCCACCTGCCTGCCTGCCTGCCTGCCTGCCTGCCTGCCTGCCTGCCCTGCCTCGACCCCCCCTCGCCTTGGGCACCCCTTTGTGTTGGCAGACAGCGCACGGCCAGCCCAGCCCAGCCAACAGGGCCCAGCCAACCCGACGCCAGGCTTGGGGGCCCTCGAGGCCAGGGCAGTAGCGCATCCGACCAACCAACACACCCCTTGCCCCTGCCAGCCTCACTCAGCTCGACCCAGCGCCCACTCTCCAGCCTCTGGTCGTCGTCGATCTCACCCCCACCACCTACCCACACCGCCGCAAGCCCTCCCTCGCACGCAGCCCTCGCACGCAGCACTCTGTAGTCTCCACTCGACGACGGATAGCGCAGGACACGCTGCATCGTCCTTGTCCCAGTCGCACCCGCACCCGCACTCGCACTCGCAGCGACCGCCGCCATCATGTCGTCTCCGGGCTCGGCCTCGTCGGCCAGTCCGCCCCACCCGCTCCGCCCCTACTACCAGCCACCCGAGGATTCCGTATTCGTCGCCTCAGCACCCCGCTTCTCCACCACGGGGACACCTCAGGCTGCGTCTCGCAGTGGGGCGGGGCCTTCAGCCTCCAGCAGCAGCTCGTCCTTCCCGCGATTCTCGCCCAATGCGGCCCACGCGAATCGCTACATGTCTGCCAACGATGCCACGCCATACGTGGCCACCAGCTCCTCGGGCATGGCCGCAGACGCCACCGCCAACTTCACAGACATGGCGCGCGCCCTCCTCGTCAGCGGCGCGCTCCAGTACACGAGCACCTGCCTCGCAATGCCCTTCGAGGTCGGCAAGCTCCTCCTCCAGGTCCAGTGGGTGCCCCGCGACGATGTATGGGTGCAGATCACCCAGACCGCCGCTGCGACCAAGATGATCGAGCAGCGCGAGATGCAGGAGCGAATGCGGAGGCAAGCGCACGAGGCCGGCACCCATGGCGCCGACCAAGGCGATGACGACGACGACGACAATGCCCCAGAGAGGGACGTGTGGGCGGGCGACGACGTGTCGCCCGAGGCGGAGGAATGGCAGGAAGAGCGCGATGCGCAGAACCACTACGGCGGCTCGGGCTACATGGACGACGAAGAGGTGAGTGTGCGCGTTGTCATTGCCAATGCCGCGCTGCTACCGATGGCTAATGTCTTCTCTCCCGTCTGCTCTGCACCGCTCCGCTGGCAGCTCTCCGACGAGCACGAGGCAGAGGCCTACTTCCGAGACCTCTCTTCGCGGCCATCCAGACCCGACGCATCCCTGCACAGGCCCAAGCGGCGACGGCAGCGGCAGGTCGACCACGGCGGCTACGTGATGCGGCGGAGCGTCCACGACGACGGCGCACGGCCCGAGTTCATCATGCCGGTCGTCGTGCGCGGCGGCGTGTGGGAGATGATCAAGGCCGTCGGCCGCGGCAAGGAGGGCTGGCTCGGCCTGTGGAAGGGCTCGCTCACCTCGTTCGTCCTCGAGATTGCCTCGTCCACCATCCAGCCCATCATCTCATCGATCCTCTCGCTCGTCGCGCCCTCGGCTCTCTCGCCGCTGCCGCTCGCCTACACCCCTTACCCGTACAAGACGTTGGCATTGCTGCTGACGTCGCACCTGGCCACAGGCATCCTCATCTCGCCCATCGACACGATCCGCACGCGGCTGATTGCGCAGAGCACGCTGCCCGCCCACCGCAAGTACAGCGGGCCGTACGACGCGCTGCGCAAGATGCTCGACGAGGAGGGCGGCTGGAAGACGGCCTACCTGCACCCCAACGTGCTCGTCCCCACCATCCTCGACTTTACGCTGCGCCCGCTCCTGTCGCTCGGCACGCCGCTCCTCATTGAGCAGACGCTCAAGCTCGAGCCCAACACGCATCCCATCAGCTACGCCATCGCCGAGCTGGCCATCACGACGGCGTCGCTCTGCGTCACCCTGCCCATTGAGACGGTGCGGAGGCGGCTGCAGCTCCAGATCCGCGCTCCCTACGGCGCTGCTCCCCACTCTGCTGCCGCCGGCGCCGACAAGAGGGCATTGACGAGCCGCTCGCTGCGTTCGGAAAAGGGAGGCGCTTCGACTGCAACCAAGCCCGCATCGGGCAACACGGCCATTCGGGGACTGCGCACCTGCGTCGAGACGAGACCCGTGCCCTACGTCGGCGTCGTCGAGGCCATCTACCGCATCCTGACAGAGGAGACGTCGGCCACGCCCCGTCGCAAGGACGGAAGCAGCGCAGGCGGCGACGGCGATGGCGACGGCGACGGCCAACGAGGGGACGACGACGACGACGACGACGCCGCCGGGGCTTCCGGCGCCACCACCAACAAGGACGACGCGGGCGCCGCGGCCATGGCCCAGTCGGGCGTGCTGGCCAAGACGGGCCACTCTTCGCTCGGTGGCTTGCGCAGCCTGTACCGCGGCTTCGGAATGGCGTTTGGCGCCAACCTCGTCGTCTTTATGCTCACCCTCGTCAGCGGGGAGCGCGCCGGCGAGGCTGGCTGGGCCGAGATTTAGCTCCGCTGGACCAGCCAGCCTCTTCGTCCTTGCCCGGCTCGCCGCGGGGCAAATTCCCCAACCTCGGATCACTGTACACTATCCCCGCCTCGTCGATTTGGCCACGGCGTCGCCCTGCTTTTTTACGACCCATCGCTCAGCATCGTCGTCTCGGCACAGGACAAGTGCCTGGCATTGCGGCTGGTGCTCTATCGGCATCTGCGCCGCCAGCCCGCTCACGATTGCCAGCGGGCGGCGTCGAATACCATGGTGACCTCCCACTGGCGTCTTGATGCCGTCGAGCCGCCGCCTCACTTTGAAGACCGGCCCGCAGAGTAGTAGATGTTGATGATGAAGCTGCGACGTGCGAGGACGGGACGTCGGGCAAGTCAGTATCGCTGCATGGAGGAAGCGCCCGGAGAGTGGGGCGGCCGAGGCGACTTACAGGGTCATCATCATGACGAACACTGTCGGCGCAGGGAGATGGGACGGGCAGGACAAGGGAGGAGGAGAAGAAGACGGTGGGTGAGCACAGAGATGCTCTCGCCGTCCGCAAAAGCAGGCCGAGGCAGGGGTGGAGGGCGGCGTGTGGCGACGGGAGGCAATACTCACTGCCGGCTGTTGATCCCCACTGCAGCAGACCCTCGTCGGGTTTGACGTAGCCCATCTGGAAGACCTCGTAGCATGCGCGCTCGAGGTCGTCGCTCATCTTCTCGAGCGAAAACTTGTCCTGCACCCTCTTGCGCGCCACCTGGCTCACTGTCCGCCTCTCGTCGTCGCTCAGGCTGAGCAGCGCCTGGATCGACACGGCCCAGATGCCCGGCGACGCGTGGCGCAGCAGGCCGGTGCCCTCGGCCAGGTTGGTGGGCTTGCCGTCCTCGTCGAGGGACAGGTCGACGACCGTCTCGAGCGGCCCTCCCGTATTGGTGGCGAGGACGGGCACGCCGCAGGTCATGGCCTCGAGCGGGACGATGCCAAAGTGCTCCTCGGTCGGCGTGTAGAGGAGCATCTGGGTCGACTGGTTGAGCAGGAGCGTGTGGAGTAGCGGCCCAGGCAGCGAGGGGAGGAAGATGACCGCCGCCTGGGCGATGTCGAACGCAGGCGGCGGAGAGATGGGCGGCTCCAGTGCCTTGCCGTTGTAACTGAGCGTGAGGTGCTTGAGGCCCAGCTCTTCGGACTGCTTCTGCAGCTCGGCCAGCGTGTCGATGTTGTCGCGGACGCGGTGGTCGTACCCGCCCGCCAGGACCAGGCGGAGCCGGCCGGGTCTTCCGCTGGCGGCGTGCTGCTTCTGCGCCGTGGCAAAGGCCTCGAGGCCGAGGGCAACATTCTTCTTGGCCTCGAAGCGGTTGATGGAGAGCAGCGTCAGGCGGTCAGTGTCGCAGCAGAGATCGATGATGGCGTTCTTGAGGCGATCGCCGACGGCCTCGTCGATGAGCTTGTCGAGCTGCTTCTGCACCTCGTCGGCCCGCAGGGCCCGCACGTCGACGCCGGGATAGAGGGTTCGCGGCTGACGTCGCAGCCGGTAGAAGCTCTTGACAAACTGCTTCGAGGTAAAGTCGGAGTTGACGAGGATCTTGTCGGCATAGTCTGCGGACAGAAAGAGGGGAGGGGAAAGGTGTGAGCGGCTCTGCGTTGGGAGGTTGCGATGGCGGCCGGCGAGGGGAGTGGGCGATGCTCACCCGTCGTGCCTTCCTCGATGAGGTCGAGCGGCAGGCGGTAGATCTTCCTGAAGACCGAGGGTCCAGAGTGGCCGCGGGCGAGGGCCTTTTGCAGGGCGATGGAGCTGCCGATGTCCTTGTCGGGGAAGTGGCAGTAGTAGAGGATGCGGGTGCTGGTGATGATCTTGAGCCAGGGGATTCCGGCCGAGAGCTGGTCCATGAAGAAGAGGTCAAACTCGGGGATGGGCGGCGAGCTCGTAAGGCGGCTCGAGACGAAGGTGGGCATGGTTCCCGGGTACTTTAGCAGCGTGATGGAGAGGATGAGCTGGAAGATGAGCGAGAGCTGCTGGAGGATGGCCATGGGGAGGTGGAGGCGGTTGAAGAGGGAGCGGGGGATGCGGGTGCGCATGACCTGGACCTTGAGGGTGCCATCGCGGGTGGCCTCGAAGCAGTGCTTGGTGTCGTGGTGGGAGGTGAAGATGACGACCTCGTGTCCGAGCTCCTGGAGGGATACGGCGGCGTCGACGATGAACTTTTCCGCTCCGCCGATGCCGAGGTCCGGGTGAATGAAGCCGATGCGGAGCTTTTTGGCGGGCGAGTTGACCGAGTTGGCCACGCGAGCGGATTGCCGGTCGAGCGACATGGTGGTATGTGCGCGGGGGCGGGGGGAGGATTGCGCGGGGAGAGTCAGAGAGAGACGGAGCGAGGCGGAAAGGGCGACAGCGGTGGTGATGGTGGCAGTAGTGGTAGCCGTTGGGGTTGGCGCGAGGGCCGGTGTGGGGGTGTTGGACTTTGCGCCTCGTCTTTGCAGGCGGCTTGGACTGCGCTGGCCCTGCGCCTGCGTCTGGCCGCCTATGTGCGGGGAAAGAAGCCAAGAAGCCAAGCGCAGCGCAGCGCAGCCAGCCAGCCCAACAACGCAACCTCGGCGACTCTCTTTCGCGCGCGCGCACAGACGCGCCCCTCTTGCTCCTCCCCAGCTCCAGGCATCGGGGGCCATTTGGACATCTCCCCGATGGACCATCGACTCAGCTTCGGGATCGGCAAATGCCTCCACTTTGCGTGGCCCGCTGTCGGTTGGCTGTGGACTCGCCGCAGCCACCCCGGCGCCACCTCCATCACTCACCTCCAAGACGCCTCGAGCTCACCCGGGCACATCCTAGCTTCACCCCGACCATGCCGCCCTCAAAGAAGCCCGCATCGCCCTCCAAGCAGTCCCACGCCGCTCGCGCAGCCGCCCTCCTGTCCAGGGCCAGGGCACACGCCACCAGCACCTCACCCACCAAGCCTTCGTCGGCCGCTTCGTCGTCTTCATCTTCTCCTTCCTCGACCTCGTCGTCTGCAGCCGTACCGCTGCCGGACCTGCTCAAACAGCTCACCTCAAAGGGCGGTCTCACCATGCACGACGCAATGGCCGTCACCGGAAAGCTCATCAACGCCCGCTGCAACACCCCGCACGCCCTCTCTCACATCAGCCTCATCGCCCTCCAGGACATGGGCGTCGAATCCGAGGAGCACCGAAAGAGGACCGTCCTCGCCTTCAAGGGAAAAAAGGCCGCGGGCATCACCGGCGACGTAGCGGCCGCATTTGACCCGTCCTCGAACAGCCCTCGCAAGCGCAGGAGGCGCGACGACGACGATGACGCCCTGTCGCGCGAATACGGAAACGTCTCCGGCCCCAGCGACAGGCCCAGCGCACGCAACGCTAGACCCGCGCCCGTGTTCGACTACGTCTTCAACGAAGTCCTCGAAGAGAGCAGCCTCCGCGGAAGGTACGCCGTCGTCAACCGCGCACCCGTCATGACCGCCTGGGCAACCATCCTCCTCGAGAGACTCGCCTTCAGCAGGGCAGAGGCTCTCAGCTTGGGTGAGTATCCCCGCCACTTGAACCCACCTCTACGTGGCGCTTGGCTGCATGGAACGACCACTGACCAACAGGGTCACCGCGCACAGCCCACTGCTATGTCAACTATACGAGCACGATGCGAGGAATCAGCCTCGGCATCATCCCGGCATCGGAGAGGGAAAAGGCGTCCAACAAGGTGGGCCCCAACCAGCCCCACTTTGAGCTGATGGGCGTCAAGATCCCCGTCATGCAGATGGCGGACGGAACCTACCGCGGCATCAGCGGTGGCGAGGTCGTTGGGCCAGAAAAGGTGAGCCGGTGGTGTGCTCTAGCCGTGTCGGGTGCGCACGATGCTGATCCTGTCTTTGTCGCCATGGAATGTTGCGGCAGGCGTTCAACTACATGAGACGCTCCATGGCCCAGACGCTCTCTAGCGTCATAGGCGCGCTGACCCTTCTCGCAGACAGCTACATCGATCCTCCACCCAAGATGGAAGCGAAGGACGAGAGCGAGCCGCTTGATGCCAAGACCGAGCACCCCGATGGCACCTTGCCAGCGAGCACCGGACCGCCACCATACGGCGCCGAGTACCTCAACACGTGTGGGTACGACCTCTACGCCGACTTCCGGCCCTCGACGTCGGGAGAGTGGGGCAAAAAGGGTCGGCTCTGGTACGACAAGATCCTCGCCCTCCGTCGCGGTCACGAAGCGGATCTGGCGGAATGGAGGGTCAAAGAGGAGCGGCTCGAAGGTGGGGGGCCAATAGAAGAAGAGTGGAGCGAGGACATCGAACGCCTCGTCCAGGAGGAGCTCAAGAAGGAGGACCAGACGCAGACGGACCACCCGGTCAAGCTCGAGGCGCCCGGGGCCAAGAGCGAGACTATGGACAAGCAGGAGACGTAGCAGACCGCAGCTTGAACTCCGCCCTCGTCTCTGGCATGCATGCAGGTGATCTTAGATGATCCTTTAAGGCCGTCTATCGACAACTGCGTTCGAACTCGGTGCGCAGCCTGGCCCGACTTCGCACTCGTTCCATCCCTTTGGCGACATGAAGAGGCGGAGCAACCCTGGTCAGCCCCTCCGCCACGTCGAGGTTATTGTCGAGCCGAGAATAAAGACTTGCGAGTGGCGACAGGTCTCGATTGCCTGATCCGGCTGGCTCTTCCGGCTGCGAGTACTCCTCAGCCTCCCGTGGACATGCGTCCGGCCGCTTGCGACGCTGCACTTCCGTCGACGGCCATCGTCATGAAATTTCGAGAGCCATCTCCTCACGCGTCGCTGACAGGATGGTCAAGCCTTTGCCGGCCTCATTTGAGAGCGGACCTCTGCCGAAAAGGACATGCAAGGATGGCCGCGGTCACAGCCTACCGGCGGCAGGTGTCGCGTTCAAAGTGGCTGCCACACCTTGACCTTGGTGGGGCCGGACCTGTGTTTCCCTTTAGGTGGAGTGGGGGAGTTTCGTGGCATGTGGGGGCGAAGAGGAAGCGATGAGCTCGTTGGTGAGCTATAAAATGGGGCTGGGCTGGAGGGTTGGCCTCCTTGCGCCCGCCCAAAAAGCATCGTGCCTCCCGCCAAGCCGCTTCCCCAACTTGCAAGAGCCTCTCGCCTACGAAGATGAAGCTTTCTCTCCTCAGTCTCGTCGCGCTGCCTTGGCTCGCACTCGCAGACGTAGTCGACTTGCCTTTCACCAAGTCCTACACCTGGCAGTTCAATGGATTCGGCACGGTGACGGCCGGGACCAACAGTCTGCTGGTGATGCTCTGCTCGACCCACCCGCAGTGGTACGCGGTCGATGAGCACAATGTGGCGCAGAGTCTCGAGTACGACAAGCCTTCGAGCCAGTGGATGTGGGCGCCCTTCTCGACCTGCAGGAACAACGGCTTCCGCTGCTTCGACTATGTCAAGAACCTCCAGACCATCGATGGTCTGCACTGCGTCTACACGTTCCCCGGCACACAAGACGTCGCCGTAGACCTGGCCGGCATCGCGAGGGCCATGGACAGGGGAAGGGCCCGAGGCTATACCTTCGTGGGTGAGTTCGGACTCGGCACCTTCACGAGCGTGGTGGGACGATGCTCTCGATGGCAGAGGTGCTCAGCGATGCCTACATTTTGCTTCAATCCGCGCACCCTTCCTGTGACGTCCCCAGTCGGCTCACCGCCTCCCTAGCCGCGAGCAGATGCCCCGAGCCAGGCTTGAACTTTCGGCCATGTCCAGGCAGTACAGTAGCGGCGTCTCCGGACTGCCAACTGCCTTCCGTTCGCAAGGGAGAGCTTGTCTATTGACCCCCGCGAGCACGACCTTTCGTGTGACTGTACCAGCGATCAGAGGCGATGAGTGTCCTCCGTCTTCAGTCGAGTTCGGCCGGCCAAGGGCCTTTAACTATGGCTCCTTCGGCTCGGTATTGTACCGCTCCCGCGCTCCTGTCGTGCCATGAACAGTCGCAGATCAGCGTGAGTGCCCCGGCTGGGCATTGTCAGGTCCGCCTGACGCGTCTACTCACCATCTTTGGCTGCGGAGACGTACGCCTTGTGACCCGCCCCCGGCACCGGCTGCGTCTGGCTCGGCGTGGCGCTGCCCAATCCAGCGCCCTTGGCGTAGATCTTGGTCTCGACGATGCCTGTCCTGCCCTGTCCGGAGGCTCCGAGGCCCTGGCCCTTGCTCCAGCCCATCATCGCGAGCATCTTGCTGCCGATGTTGCTGCTGTCGATCTCCTTCTCGACAGGCATTTCCGGCTCGTCGCTTTTCGGTACGTCGGTCGCGACCGGGCCCTCGTATGATTTCGCCTGGAAGCTCGCTTTTTTGAACGCTGGCGTCGAGTCGGTACCAAACACCGCCCTCCTCTCCAAGGCACGGTCGCGGTACTTGGACGCTGGTGTTCCGCTCGCGTCTTTAGCAGCCCCGATCGGAGCAAACCCGGCGGATGCACTGCTTTGGGACGAAGTTTCGAGGCCAGCATCCTGCGATAGCTTCCGATCGACGCCAGCGCGACAAGTATCGAGGTTCCGCAGGTTGTCCTGGAAGACACGCAGGGAGGGTCAGATCGTGCCAAGAGGCCAATTTCCTACGGTCAGTGTTCGTATTGTGACCGTCTGAATGATGACGACGACGATGACGACGCACCTCGTGCAATGCTGATTCCTTTTCGTGCCGACGCAGGACGTCGAGGCTTTTGAGCTTCCGTTGACACAGGAGACAGGCATTCTGAGCAGTGTCCAAGTAGTCAAAAGCACGGAGCTCGTCATCGCTCATCGTCGACGATGACGCCTTCGTCCGTGTTTGCACTTCGGAGGCTGGAAGCGGAGCTGCGGGGAGCTCATCCGTCTTAAGGGACCGCTGCGTTGCCGTGGGTGCAGGATCATCGATCAAGGTGAGCTGACGGGAAAGACGGGCGAGTACCACTGAGCCCCGACGGCGCTTCGTTACTCACCTCGACCGACTTGGACTGCTTCGATGTGACGCCATTTCCGCCTGTCGCCGCGGAGGCATCCGAATTGCCCATCTTGCGGAGCTCCTCTTGCTTCTGATTCCACTTTGTGATGTTGAGGGCGACCTATAGGTTTGGATCGGCCAGAGTGCATCACAAAGGCGGGGCATCGAGCAAGACTTCGATGAGCACTCCCACAACTCGGAGTGGATATCGCAGGCCGATGGGCCGGCAAGGTGGACAGACGTCGGGGGTCGGGGAGGCAGATACATGGGGTCGAGGTCTCCTACCTTTTTGCTCGTGGCAGCCGGTGCGCCTTTCTTGACCTTGGTGACTCTGGAATCCTCATCGACGAATCCGGCGTCTTTGAGGTTTGAAGACGATGAAACGGATGTCGGCCAAGACCATGAGGCAGCAGTGGTCAGCCAAATGCCAGTCGACTGATAGCAGGGGACGGAAGCGGGCAGCGCGGAGCAGAGGCCAAGCGTGCGCGCAGATAACAACCGTTGGGTAGGCTTGCCTTCGCAGGCGCCGCAGCCGCTTCGTTTGCGACCCGGGTCGAGCTGCTATCGTGTCGGTTCAAGAAGCGTCGCAAGCAGCGTCAGTATCACTCTTTCGGAGCGCAGAACACTGCGCGAAGGGTTCGGCGGCCGCAGATCACTGACGATGGTCCTGCTGACGTGGGTCTCTGATCAGAGGGTAGCGACTTGGCGCCGCTGGGCTTGCTTTTGGCCGTGGCATTGTCTGTACCAGGTCTAGCCGTCGCGCTGTCCTCCTCGGCGCGTCCAGCCTCTCCGTTGCTTTTGGCTCTTGAGCTGTCCTTGTTGCGATGATGGCGTTCATACTGCTCGTCGTACCTGGCCTGCTTGCGCGGCGGTGGAGATCGACTCCGGTCTGATCGCCTGGGATCCCGGCTCGTTTGGGGAAGTTCACCGTCTCTCCGACCCGACTGCAACGAACTCGAGCCGAGGGGATATCCCGCTTCCGGATAGGACCGAAGCCGAGACGAGCTTGCAGGGTCAGATCTGCTGTCCGTCCAAGCGGGCTTCGATGGCAGGAAAGGTGGCCGAATGTTCGCGGGGTATCGTCGTGTAGCGTCCCATTCAGGAGGATGGCCGTGGTACGTCGGTGCAGGGAGATCATAGCCCATTGGCTTCGGAGGAAGTCGATGCGACAGATTGGTTGGGCGAGATGGGTCCCAAGGCGACGCCGCAGGATATGATCGAGAGGCTTGCGCGCTCGTGGGGAGCGGCGGCGGCGGCGGCGGCGGTGGTCCTGGGGGTCGCGGCGGCAGCCCAAGGTCGGGTGCCCCTTGCAACGCGTATCGGGATGGGCCGCCCAGGGGGCCCCAACCCTCGTCACTCAATCGCAGCTGCCTTGAAGGGCTGCGCTCGCCACTCGAGTGTTGTTCATGTGCGAGTCGGTCGTCTCTAACGATTTCGCCGTCCTCAGAGCCGTTTGATGGCCGAGCAGGGCTGGGCTCATCCGCCTCGCTCGAGAGGTCCGTGTTCGACATCAGCGGGCGCGCTGGCAGCTCTGACCGAAATGCTGAGCTGTCGCTGTCGCCATCTGGTCGCATCGCCATGTCGCAGTGATGGTCGCTAGATGGTGCGAAAGTAGGGGAGCGGGTGAGTGTCAAAGAACGGTGCAACGCTTCGACGAGGAGCTGAAAGCAAGGAGCAAGTCACCTCCTACATGCTCCACTTTCGGGACGGCCCGATCCGCGGTGAGGCCGTGCGGCATCGGGCGGCTTCCGAATGAAGCCTGGCACTCGGCGTGCGGAGAGAGAGGGTCAGCTGCAGCGGCGTGCATGTGTTTATGGGGCGGCCTGCCAACCGGCTGCCAGCCTGCCTGGCCTCGTCCCTTTCTTTCACCCTACGCTCTCTCTCTCTCTCTCTCTTTCTCTTCCTCGCTGCCTTTGCCTCTTCGCCAGCAGCTTCGAGACCCAATCGGAGACGATTCGAACTCCACGCTTCGTCTCTATCGGTGTCGCCCTACCCCTCCCCCTATACTCCAAGAAACGCTTCGACTTTTGGAAAGGACCAACCCGACACTTTCATCAAGGATCATCACTGCAACGACTGCCACGACGACGCTGCTCCTGCTGCGGCTACTGCTCGAAGCGCGGCTCGCCCCGACGACGAACGAAACGAAGGCGCTCCTCTACTGGGAGCTGCTTCTACAGAGACAGCCATATCGACGGCCAGACAGCACCACGGCGTAGACGACCTTCGACCTCGACAGTCACGAGGGTCGGCTCCTGGCGACGCTCCGCCTCGACAGTCCTCAGATCCAAAGCAGTAGCCGACCATGTCTCGGCATCAGGATTAGAGCCATCGCATACCGAAAGGCACGGTCACTCTCGGCTCCCCTGCTGCTGTGAAGCCGTCGTCTCGTCCAGCCGTCGGATCGATTGCCGCTTCCAGCATGAGTAGGTCGCCCAACATGACCAGCTACACGGCGATCGCCTCGAGCGAAGATGGCCGAAGTACGCACCCCTCTTCGTCGACCTCGTCGCCGTCCTTTGCTGCGGCGCGGGCCAATGCCCTTGCGACGGCGTCGTCCGGGCTGGGGAGCGAATGGCCGCGAACCTTGACGGAACCGGACAACATGATCAAGACGCCCACCCCCACGGAAACGTGGACCTCCAGCACGCTCGCCCAGTACGCGCCCTCGACCACGGGCAGCCGTTCTGGAGGCAGTACAAGCCAGGCTCGGCCCATCAGCGAGGAGGAGCTGATGGCGCTGGTGGTCGAGAAGCGACTCAAGGCGAGCTCGGAACCTTTCCAGACCGCGGCGGGGGCCCGAAACCGATCTGGTAGCGTAGCCGGCCGCGAACGAGGCCGCGAGGACGGCAGGTCCGCTTCACAGACGCGGCGGGACGCCAAAGAAGGGCAGGAGATCAACACGCGGGATACGCTCGACCTCTGCTACATGCGCATCGACCGGCTGCCGGACGGCCTGGTCGACGTGATCAAAGACGACGTCGTCAGGTGAGCCGTCCATCCGCAGTACTTTTCCCCCTGCTGTCGAGATTACGCTTTGCTGAGTCGATGGCAGAACTCGTCGCTCCTCTCCCCTCGGTCAGGCTTGCTCTCGGGTACAACCTCCTCACCAAGATCCCCGACAGCTTTGTCGAGTTGAGATGCGTGCGGTACCTCAATGTCCGCGCAAACAGCCTCAACAGCTTCCCCGCTGCTGTGAGTCGAGCCATGAAGAGGGCTGTCCAGGCTCTGGGTCTCTGCTGACCGCCGCGCGCTGTAACGTCCCTTTCTCCCGGCCCTTTCGCAGATCTGCAAGATGCCTAGCCTCGAGATCCTGGACATTAGCAGAAACAAGCTCCGTGCCCTCCCCAACGAGCCCGGGCGCCTGCTTTCGCTCAGGGTGAGTAGTCCTGTGCCTTTTTTGATGCCGGTCGCTGGGGCAGCCCGCTGATTCCATCCTTCGGCGATCCACGCTGCACCCTCCTCGTTCTGCGATCGCAGGTGCTGTCACTCAACAGCAACAAGCTGACGCGGCTTGCGCCGTGGGTGGCAAAGATGAAGCACCTGCGTGTGCTCAAGATGGAGAACAACCCGCTCGAGTGGCCACCACCCCACATCTCCAAGATGCCGTCGGTCGTCTTGCAGAAGCCGCCGTCTTCTGCCGGCAGCGGGGCCATCGAGAGAGACGTGGTGCGCAAGTTCGAGGAGCGGCAGATGGTCGTCTGGATCGCCAAACTCAAGAACTGGATCAGCGACAGCCAGGGTGAGCACATCGTTTGCGCATCGGACGCCACTCATCCTGACAACAAGAGTATTCCGCTGACCCTGTGACGCCGTCGCGACCTGTCTTCGAAGCAGCCGCTAAGCGAGCAGAGTCCCTAGAGCCGTCTTCCTCGGCGGAAGTCGAGACGGACCAACCATCAGAGGAAGCTTCGACGCCCACCGACATCCTCGCCCTGCCGGTTGCTGCGCCGCCGCCAGCCATCGTCGAGCAAAGCACGGCTTCCGAAGATTCGCCCGCCAGCACAGGACATGCTTCCGACCAGAGCGACGGGCCCGTCACCCCCAAGAACAGCGATCAGAAACCGGACGACGATGCAACCTGGTCGCAGCTTCCCACCCCGAGCAGCGAAGACAGGGCGGGGTCCTCTCCCGACATCAACAGTCGCGAATCCCTGCTGCCGTACGACCGCCACCATGGTTCTCCTCGCCAGCTGTCCCGGGACCACTCTCACGAGCCGGTGCCGCCGATACCGAAGCAGTTTTCCCCTCATACCCCTTCGACGGTCGTCGCAGGCGGCCCCACCGACGTACGACGTCCGGCTACTGATGCAGGACCGTCGATCAACGCAGCTCGCCCGGTCGCGGATCTACATTTAACCGATCGTCGGATCGACGCCGATATCTATATCAAATCGCAGCACGGTCGCAACAACTCGCATACCATCGGCCAGGCCGTGTCGCCCCTGCAGCCGGGACCGCGCCGCACGCTGAACCCCAAGAAGTCGCTGCCCGATCTGCGGCTGAGCCACGAGGACATCCTGACAGAACGCAGCCAGAGCGTGCCCAGGTCAACCGACCGCAGTGCCGCCGTTGCAAACCGAGCGACAGAAGCGTCCGCACGCCCGGCCGTCTCTTCGCAGGATGACGACCAGCATCCGTACGTCGCCGCCCTGCCGACAAGGCGACCTAGCAGCGCTCCTCGGCGACCGCCACTGCCGCAATCCGCGAGCAATCCGATCGGATACCACTCGAAGCCCGGTGGCTGGTCGTCTTCGACGCCGTCCCCCAGCCAGACGTCCGCTGCAAGCTCTGGAGGAGGCGGACTTCGAAAGTTGAGCCTTCCCACCGTCGGAGCGACCCAGGCGGCGGCCGAAGCAGCGGCAGCGGCGATGGCGTCGCGGGCCCCTTATGCCCATACGCCGCCCAGAGGCGACTCGCACGGCGGAGTTCCGTCTGACAAGGGCGAGAACGTCCTGCCGGCCGCTCGATCCGACTCTCCCACGGTCGCCAGGAACCCGGCCGACTTTGAGCGCAACAGCTACTTTCGGCGCCTATCGACGCTGCCGCCATCGACCATCGCCAAGGCCGTCCCTCCTCCAGTGCTCAAGTTTGTCGACGGCACTCGCGGCGTTCTTTTCGCCCTGTCTCAGATCCACGCCGCGCTGAAGCAGTATATTCTCTTCGCCACCGACGAGCGCATCTCGGGCCAGTTCAACCGCGTTCTCGACATCGCCAGCGGCTCGATGACGACCTTCATCAACTCGCTGGACCGCTTCGACTCGCTGTCACTGCGAGGCACGCCGGAGCCATCAGTCATCCGTGGCGTGCTGATGACGTGCAAGGAGAGCGTGGTGACGTTCCGCAAGGTGGTCAGCGTGCTGCAGCTCCAGCTGCGAGCCTTGCAGAGCAGCGCCGACGTCCGTTTCACCCGCACCCTCTTGCTCATGCTCTACGGCAGCATGGCCGAGGTCAGCAACAGCTGGACTGCGATGGCGCCCCAGGTCGACGCGGTGCTGCCCTACCTTTCCGCCGACTCGATCGCAAACGCGGCCGCGAACCCCGCCCATGCCGCTCTCGCAAGGCAGAACAGCAGCATCCTGTCGAAGGCGACGGCGGCCGCCACCAACGCGCCTTCGCTGCCGAGCATTGCAGAAACCCCGAACTCGGCCAGGTCGGTGCGGCCAAACGCGCAGCCGCCGAGGCCAAGTCGTCGGCGTCATGCAGGCTCGTTCAGCGCTCATGACGTGGCCCAGGGCGCCAACATCCCGCCGAGCTCGTCGCAGCTACAGCCCTTCAACCTGGAAGACCTCCAGGCCTCGTCGGCGTACGGAACTCCCGGCCGGTCAGGACGCCGACCCGCTGTGCCCAACGGCGCGGTCCCTCCGCCGCATGCGCCCTCGGCATCTGGATCCGGCTCAGACTACTTTTCCCAGGCGGCCATGCACGCTCCTGGACCCACGCCGGGCACGCCGGGCGCCGCGGCCTCCGCCAATGGCAGGGGCATTGGCGCCAGCTCGGCCCCGGCGTCACCCTCCAAGAACCGGTCCAACTCAAACGCAAGCTCCAGCGGGGACACGTCGGGCTTCATGGCGGCAGGTGTGAGTGGCATGACGCCGATGGCCCCTGCCTCTTCGGCAGCCACCTCGGTATCGCACCAGAAGCACGGCAAGTCGCTGTCCAACGGCAGCCGAGCCGGCACCGGGCTCCCACCGAGCGGACTCGGCGCCAAGGTGACGATCGATGACCACCTTCTGGTGCTAGTCGACCAAATCACCGGGCTCTCCGCCGAAGTCTGGACGGCGCTGCTCTCCCACCTGACCGGCCTGGGCATCGAGTCTGAGCCGGCGACGCCGACGGGTCCCGTCACGACTCGATCACGCTCCAACACGGCCAACAGTCTCAGCGATCGCGAGCGCGGCGGGCACGGTCAGGATGCCGGAGAGCGCCTCGATGGGCTCCTCGTCGTCGCCGAGACGACGGCTTCGCTGACCAAGAAGCTGCGCGACCTGCGCGACCTGACGCACAGCACCGCGGAGCTGACGTCGCGGCTGCGCGAGACGTACCACTGCGTGCGCGAGGAAGAGGAGCAGGTCGACGTCGACGCACTGCTGGCGGTCCAGCGGTCCAGCGGCGAGAGCGACGACCGCGAGCGCGAGCGCGACGGGCGCAGCGGCGCACGGCGCTCGGCGGCCCTCGAACTCATCGCCCAGGACCTGGCCAAGCGCCTGTTTGACGAGTCGCACCAGTTTATCCGCGCCATTGTCAACATCTCGACGCTCATCAAGACGATCTCGACGTCGCACACGTTTCCGCGCGAGCTGCGCCGCTCCCTGGGCGAGGTGACGCACGGCTGCTCTGCGCTAACGGTGCATCTGCTCTGGCTCAGCCCGACGTCGATCTCCTAGGACCGCTTCGGACGCAGGCCGGGTCCCTAGAGCCCCCCTGCGCGCCAAAGGCTGCTCCGTATCGTGCTGTCCGAGGATCGCGCCGCACCCCGCGCCATCAGACGAACCTCCGCACCTCGCTAGACTGTCCTATCTGATGTCTCCATACAGGATCCCTTCTCTTGCCCCTAGTTCCGCCGCACCACGTTGCTCGATCTCGATCTCGATCTCGATCTCGATCTCGATCTCTCTCATCTCATCTGTACTACAGCATCCGATCCCATCCAACGTCGATCTCAGTCGCCTCTGCACGGTCACCGCTTCCCCCTCTTCCGGCGCCTCCCATCCGAATCCACTTTCTGTTTTGGTCTATGGCACGGCAGGGTGGCGGTTGGCGAGCCCACAACGACGGCATCTCTAGACCATGACGATGCCGTTTCCGGATCCGATTTCGGTGGGGCTCCTTGCGCTCCTCCTGATGAGCTCCTCGGCGAGGGGCTTGACGTTCGGATCGTCCTGCTTGATGACGGACTTGAGGTGTTGCGCGACGGGATCGAGTTCCGTCTCACCCGGTCGAGATCCCATTCCACCGGCAATCGGGAGCACCCTCCAGTTCTACCGCGACGACCAAGGCATTGATCAGAGCAAGAGAGAGCCAGCAAAGAGTCAGCGGTGCCCTTGCGGCGAAGGGAAGCTCAGGCCCGGCGGCGCTTACAAAGAGGTAGAAGCGGAGGAAGCCGTCGCCCGGTCCGAACTTTTGCTCCTGCAGGAAGAGGGAGTTGTCCATGACTGTGAGGCAGTTGACGACGTCGAAGCCGTACTGCGGCGTTGCGGCGTAGCGTGTCGTACCGTCAAAGTGGCGGGCAAGGGGAAAGGTGAGCAAGATTCACACGTGCCGTGCCGCAGGAGCATCGCCTCTAACTCACGTCGCGGGCAATGATGAGCGCATCGCCGCAGAGCTGGTTGAGCCTGCGCTTGAGGCGCTGCTTGACGTCGCGGTCCTCCCTGTCCCACCGCGTCACCTTGTCCTCGTCGCGCATCTCGCTCGGGCTCAGTCCGGTGAGGTGGCTCTGCTTCCACTCGGGCACGCCGCTCGACTTGGCCTTGGCCAGCGGGCTGAGGTTGGAGCACGACCCGCTCGGCTCGTCCGAGGCGGCCGGTGCGCCGCGATGCTCGGCTCCTGCCTCAAAGTTGCCCTCCCTGTCCCGGAAGACGACGTCGGTGGCGTAGTAGAACATGTAGGCCGCGTCGAGGGTCTTGTGCTTCGGGTTGTCGAGGATCGAGGAGGGCAGGCTGTAGAAGGAAAAGACGTCGGTGATGCGTTGCGTGCTGGGTTCCTCGACGACGTATGTCCACGTCACCTGCTTCTGCCGCTTGCCGCCGACGTCGACGCCGCGGCCGCTGAGGAAGATGTGCGACACCTCCTCGTCGGAGAACCGCGGCGCCATGTCGAATCGGCGCATGTAGCGCCGCAGCAGCCTGCCGACCGCCGGGACGTCCTTGCGCTCCATCTCGCGCAGCCCGACAGTCGAGGTGGACGCGGGCAGCTCGAAGCGCTTGATGTGGGCGTCCATCGACATATTGTGCGGCACGGCCGAGAAGCCGACGTCGACGAGCTTCTGGGCATTGATGGTGCGGTGGTAGTAGCGCGCCGTCGAGCAGGGCGTCGGCAGCACGGCGCCCGCCGTGTAGATGGCCTGGAAGACGCCGGTGAGGTGGCACTGGCGCGTGACCTCCTTGATGAGGACGGGCGCGAGGCGCTTGTTGCGCAGCTTCTTGTGGACGACGAGAAAGTTGATCTCGGTCGAGTGGTACGAGTGGTCGCGGACGCGCAGCTCATGGGGGATGCCCGAGATGAAGGCGACCATCTTGCGGGTCGACTTTACGCGGACGCCGATGTGCCACGTCTGACGGTAGCCCGGGTGCTTGAGGACCCAGTTGAGGAACTCGGGCGAGTAGTTGAAGCGGAGGCTGGCGTCGTCGTCCTCGACGTAGTTTGCCGAGAGGAGATCGTAGACCTCCTTGAGCTGCGCCTCGTCGTCGATGTCGACGGTAACCCACTCAAAGTCTGGGGGCAGCGGGTAGGGCTCTGCGCGGACCTCTTCTGGCGGCTGGTTTGGCTGGATGGGGCCCTCCTGGAGCAAGGGCTTGTCGCCGGGCTTCATGACGGGCTGCGTCTTCCAGAACTTGTGGTCGGCGAGGGCCTTTTGGGTCTTTTGCTTTGCGTCCTGGCCCTTGAGCACCTGGTCCTTTTCAAAGTTCATCATGGCCATGACCTTGGCGAGGTTGGCCTTGTTGACGTTGGCGGCGGCGGCTGCTCCGTGCTCCTGCTGCACGGCGTTCTGCACCTGCTGTACGACCTCGTCCGAGATGTTGCCCTCTTGGGAGGATGCGGCGGCGATCTGTCTCTCGACCATGGCGGCGTCCTTTTCCGCCTTTGTCTGGGGCGTGGCTGAGCTGGTCAGGCCGAGCTTTTTGCGGAGCTTTGCGGCTGCCTTGCTCTCCTTCTTCTTGCGCTGCTTTGCCGTCAGGGTTGCGCCGGCGGCCTGTGGGGCGTCGTCGTCGTCGCCGTCGTCATCGCCTGCGCTACCTTGATCGTCGTCATTGTCGTTGTCGTCGCCATTTGGTCGGGTCGTCTGAGCAAGATCCTGTGCTGGGGGTGCTGGTGGAGCCGCGTCGCTGGAAGGCTGTGCGCTCGCAGTGGCCGAGGACGACGAGGAAGGAGCTGGTGGCGGTGCGTCGGCTGCCATGGCGGTGGGGGAGGAACCAGAGGAGTGGGTCGAGTGAGCGGGGAAACACAAGCCAGCCAGGAATAAGGGTTGGAAGGAAGGAGGCAGGCAGCTCCCGCGTGCGAGTCGTCTGTGCGTCGTTGGGGCTGGGTCGGGGGGTGTTGGTCTGAGTGAGGGTGACCCGTTGACCCGCTGACCCGCTGACCCGCAGACCCGCAGACCCGCAGACCCGCACGGGTGGATTGCGATCGTCGTCTTGTGCCTTTCGCTGGGGAGATTCCACAATTTCGTTGGCCAACACCGCTTTTTTTTTCTCCTTTGGCGAGGTGTGCGTCGAGGTGCATGTCTTTCTTTCGGGTGGCCTCGTGGGCGTCGTCTTCTGGTCCTCTCCGCCACCGCAACGGTCCCCACCACCACCACCTTCACCACCACCCCCTACGCTGCATCTGCACCCACCCGGCTGGCCTCTATTGCGCCACACAAGCCGCACACCGCCGCCATCACCATCATGACCGAGCTCACCACCGAGCAGGTCCACCACCGCGACCACACCCACCGCGTCTTCTTCGGCGACTCGACCGGCTGCCTCCGCGTCGCACAGGCACCTTCCTATCCGCTCCCGCCAAACTACGCTGGCCCTCCAATCAGGACCGTCATCCTCCCCGGCTTCCGCTCCCACTCCGACTATGCCGTGCACAAGATGGCCGCCGGCAATCTGGGCGCAACCACCTGGATCGTCGCCATGGCTAGGAAGAGCGGCACCATCGACCTCGTCCACGTCGCCGAGCCCGCCGCCTCTACCAGCTCAGCCGCACCCACCGAGCTCCAGGCCACCGTCCTCGCCACCATCACCGAGGAACGCATGAGGGTCGGCATCGAGCGCTGGGTCGGCCTCGCCGTCGCTCACAAGTGAGTTGCACCGAGACGCTCGCTCGGCAATCCTATAAACCCGCACCCGGCGATCCGCACTCGCTGACCACTGTCGTCCCCCGCTTGGCCCTCACTCGAACTCTCACTCCACAGCGGCATCTACTCGTGCACCTCGGCGGGCTCCTTCCGCTTCACCCCGGTCGACCTCGGCGCGAGCGACGACATCCTGGGCCAGCCCAAGCTGCTCAACTTCTCCGGCCCGCTGCAGCACTGCTGCTTCTTCCCCGCCTACAACCCCACGCACTTTAGCTTTGCCGGCGAAGAGATCCCGCCTTCGCTCTGGGACGCGTCGCTCGCGCTCACCGAGCAGCCCCAGAGCATGGCCGGCGACGACTCGCTCGACGGCATCGCCGCCGACTCGGCATCGCAGGCGGCCAACATGAATGCCAAACTGCGCAAGCGAAAGAGGCAGGCAGAGGCGCGCGCAAAGGCAAAGGAGTACGCCTGGGGCGAGGTGTGGCGCGCAAAGAACCTGCCCAACGACTACCTCTCGCTTCCGCAGCGCGCCAACGTCGCCCAGATCGCCATCGTCGACATGGACACCGAGTCGCACCGCGACGCCGCTGCATCCGACGACGCCGCGGCGGCGGGGGCGGAGTCGGTGCCTCCCCGGACGACGATCGTCGTCGGGACAAAGGACGGCCTGATACGTGTGTTTGAGCCCGCCGTCGGCGGCAGGAAGCACACGCGGGAGCACCGGATCGTCCAGGCGGGCCAGGGCGCCATCAAGACGATGAGCGTCGGCCAGAGCCCGGGCGAGCTGTTTGTGGCGGACTCGACGGGCAAGCTCTTTTCCGTCGACTGGAGGAACGGCCAGATCCAGTACCAGTACAGGGGTGAGTGTCGAGTCAGGCGATGCGACTGGTGAGGTCCAGCGCCAGCGCGAAAGCTGACTTGTCCCTCTGTCTCCCCCACCTCACCCCTCCTTGGCTCCTCGACAGACATCACGGGAGCGATCAACTCGCTTCAGCCTCTGCCTGCACCCACCTCGGCCGACAGTGGCGAGCCGATCGGCCACCCGTTGCTGATCTCGTCGTCGCAGGACAAGCTGGTGCGGCTGCACACGACCGAACCGCCACCGGCGCAGCCGCTGCGGGGCAAGCCGAGCGAGGCGGGCAAGTCAAAGGTGCGCGGCGAGACGCTGTGGACTTGCTTCACGGCCTCGAACGCCAATTCGCCCGCGTACCTCATCACTGCGGTCGTGTGGGACGGCAAGGTGCCCACCTCGCAGGTGGTCCCGCGGCCGTCTCGGGCCAACAAGAGCGGGAGGAGGACGAGGAGGAGGGAGGGGTACGGCTTCGACGGTGTCGAGGGTAGTGGCGATGAGGAGGATGAGAGTGGCGACGAGAGTGCGCGAGAGGGAGAGGACGAGGAGGACGAGGTGTGGAGCAAGATGAAGGAGGTCGGCGGTAAATCCGGCGGTGTCGAGGTGCAGGCTGGAGGGCGCGACGACGAGGACGACGAGGTAGAGGGCGACGGCGACGGCGAGGAAAAGCGGAAAAGGACGAGGCAGCAGTGACTTCTGCGCCCGTCTTCCGTCTTGGCCCGCCAGGGTCCCGCTCCCCGCCATGCCTTGGCGGCCCGACGATCGTCTCCACGGCGGTCCAACTTGAAAAGCATCGAAACCCCCTCATGATTGTCCTTTGCCGTAGGTAGCAGCATCACCATCGTCTCTTCCAATCCACCAAGTCATCTCGCGACGCCAAGGCGCGGGTAAAGAGTGCAGACGGCGCACGAACAAGCGAAATCGGTAACGTGCCAGTCGTCTCGAGGGACGTGTTGGGACGGTTTTTCGAGGTCGACTGGATGTGAGAATGCGGACGAGACGTTGCGAGGGGTAGCGAGATGAGCGAGATGGGGTACGTGTCTATGGGGAGGAGTGGTGTCTGCCTCCGAGTAATGGCCGAGTCGTGCTTGTGCCAAATCAAGGAGAGGCGCGGGAGAGACGACAGGATAGACCAGTCAATGGTCGATGGTTGGCGGCGAGTTGCGACCATGTCGCTGCTGCTGCTGCTGCTGCTGCTGCTGCTGGTAAGAGGAGGCGGAAAGACGCTCCATCGCCTTTTGCTGCGCCTTGGGCGTCAGCCTCGTCTTTTGGCCCGCCAGGACGGGAGGAGGGGAAGAGGCAGACATCCGATCGAGGGCGTGGCGAAGTCCGTTTGGCTGCTCGTCTCGCGTCGTCTTCGATCCGGCTGCGCGCTTCGCCCTAGACATCGGCGCAGAGGGGGAGGACGCCTGACGGCCTGCACGGTCGGCGTCATCGTCGACGAGGAGCGACTCGATCAGCCTCTCGAGGCGGTTGATCCGATCCGCCTTGAGCTCGAGCATCTCGACGGCCTCGAGCACGTGCTGCGCCAGGATCCGCCGCTTCTCCTTGCTCATTCGCGGGCTGAGGTGCTTGAGCTCGTCGGCCAGCTCAGAGTAGAGCATGCGCTGGTGCACAAACTCGTCCCAGTGCTCCTGCAGCATCCTCTGCAACGTCTTGAGCTGCGAGCTCGTCACCTCAATCGTGGCTCCGACAGCGGTGGCGGCGTCGCCGTCGTCGCCGACATCCTCGAAGGCCTGCAGCAGCGTTTCCTCTTCGATCTCATCGGCCTCGCGCTGCCGCTCCCGCTCGAGCGCCTTGCTGCGTCTCGACTGCTGCCGTCGTGCCGATTTGCGCGAATTGGAGCACACGGTGCAGTGCCGCGTGTCGTGCTCCAGCAGATGATGCTGCGATGCCGCACCAAGACGACCATCCGAGTCGTGTGGGTGCAGCCGCGCCGTGTGCCTCGCCATGCTCTCGAACGCGCGTTGCGCTCGCGCCTCGGCAATCGTCGAGATGTCCTCTTCGTCGCCGCCGTACACGCCGTTGCCATCGTCAGCGCCTGTCGCTTGCTCGCGGAGCAGAGTCTGGCTGAGCCTGCGGCGGTTCTCAGCGACCGCATCGATGGTCTCGTCTGGGTCGTAGTCCCGGCCCATTGGCCCGCGGTGCCGGCTTACCGCCTCCTCGTGCCCGAAAGAGACCCTCGAGCGCTGCTGTAGCTGCGACGGACCGAGACGCGTCGTGGGATGGCGCGGCAAAGGAGGACTCGAGGCCCTTTGACGGCCGTCGGCTCGGTCCATGCGTGCGGCAGTCTCGAAAGGGGCAGGGTCCGATGCCGGATGGCCACCCTCATGGAAGCGATCGGTGGCGCGCTTGAGGTAAGGATGGCTGTGTACCGCCTCGGGGTCCATCTCGAGGCCATCGTCGTTGATGCCGTACGGTGCCCGAGTCGTGGCGCCCATGGGCGAGGTCTTCCTGATGTTGGAGGCTGCGTATGAGTGGTGCTTGGCTGCCCTACGAGGCTCGACGAGCTCCTCGACGACAACATCGTTGAGCTTTTCGACCTCGCCGGCAAGATAGACGACCTGGACGCGCAGCGCCTCGATGGCGTCCCAGGGATCGCGTTGATCCTGGCGGGTGGTACCGTGGCCATCGAACGAGCGCCTCGCTTGCGGTCGGTCGGCAGTGCCGGCGTCAACGTGGGATGCGGGGACGGCGGCTGCGGTGACTGCGGCAGCCTGCTGGGCGCCAGAAGCGGCGACCTCGTCGTCGGTTGCCAGCTGAGTGGCCTTCCTGAACTGCTCAGCCATGGCCGCTTTCAGCTTGTCGAGCTCTCCGTAGAGCCTCTGGATGACTTCGTCGTGCTCGCTCTGGCTCATGGTCCGCGCACCGTCATGGTCCGCCGCCGAGTCCTTGCGCGCTGGGCTCCGATTGCGCGGCATCTCGGCGACATCCGGAGCATCGACGTGGGTGTGGCTCGTCTCGTCTGCGGGGCCGCCAACCTGGTGCTGCTCAGCGGCCGACTGCTGCGGCTGCATCGTCGTCGGCCCGGGCGCCATCTGCTGCGCATTTGGGATGTCCTGCTGCTGCTGCTGCTGCTGCTGCTGCTGCTGCTGCTGCTGCTGCTGCTGGCGGTAGATGTGCCTCTCCTCTTCGCGGATCCTGTCCAGCAGCGTCTTGAGGAACTCGCCACCGCGCACCTCGCGCACGTCCTGCCACACGCTCTGGACCTCCCTCCGCAGGCCGTCGACTTCCTCCTTTTGCATCTCCTGGCTCTCTTCCAGATTGACGATCCGGTCGCCTGCCCGCTCGAGCTCCGTCTGCAGGCTGTCGACGAAGACGCGCAGGTGCCCCAGCTCCTCGAGCCTCGCGAACTGCGATCCGACGGCCGGGTCAATCGGAATGTGGGACACGCCGTCCCGAGCCTTGAGCGGGGAGGCCAGCATCGAGGTGAGCCCGGTGACGTCAGGCAAGCGGGCTGCGAATGGGTCGTCCAGACGAGCCTTGCGCGTGGCTGAACCCGGGTAGAGGTGGCCGGGAGCGCCGGGTCGCAGATGGGCAGGATAGGCTGCTGTCGTCTTGTGCTGGTCCGGGGATGGCCCTCTTAGCTCGCCAAAGGCAGGATAGCCATTGGCGTTGAACTTGGTTGTCGTGGCGACTGACCCGCCCTGACCCTTGAGATCGCCCTCTTGGCCTGGGCCGGTGGCAGGTTCGAGATCGCGGTGCTCGACCCTCGTACGAGCGCTAGACACCTGGCTTCCCGGGCCGTAGCCGCTGCCGCCAGAGTTGGAGTTGTTGAGCGTGGCGGCATCGTCATCGGTCCTGCGCGCCTCGTCAATCTCCTCGGCCCTCCTGGTGAGCTCGACATCGCGCTGCAGCTTGCGCGCCATGTCCTCGAACGCGCTGAGCGCGGTCAGCGAAGACTCGCGCTCGAGGCCAGCCCTCGCGAGCGCCCCGACCTTGCCCCGCGCGATGGGGTTCGGAGCCTGTGCCGCGGCACGATCGGCCAGAGGGCCTCTCTCGCGATTAAAGATGCGGCCGCTGATCGAGGGGGCAGGGCTCGGACTATCGGGGCTCTTTGTACGATCGCCGACCAGCGTGCGGATGGCAGGAGACGTGAGTGTGCGCGAGTTGAGGTGCTGCTGGTATGCGGCGGCATTGCTCATCATCGGTCTCGTCCTGTCCAGGTCGTTGGACGGTGCGGGCGGAGAAGAGGCCCAGTTGCGAGACGAGTGGAAAGGGTCGTGCGGATCCTGCGAGGGGCCCGGCCTGCCGGCAAGATGAGTTTGGCTGTTCTGTGAGGCGGGCTTGACGACGTCTGAGCGAGCGGCTTCGCTGGAGGGGTATGCGTTGGTATACGTTGGGTCGTCCTCGTTGAGCTTCTGAAGGGGTGGGACGGCGCAAAATCCTCCAAGGTCAACGGCCGCTCAAGTCTCGGGCACAGGAGCGGGGGCGTTTCGAGTACTCACCTTTCTAGACGCTCTGCTGGCGCGGTCGCTATCGGTGTATCGGTCAAAGTCGATCCTATCGAGCGTGTCTTCGCCCAAGGTGGGTCGCGCAAACCTGTGCTGGGCACCCGCGTTGGTGCTGCGCGAGGTCAGGGTGCCGCCGGCGGGAGTGGCAGCGAAGGCGCGGTGGTTGCCTGTGGACTCGAAGCCGTCGCTGCCGGAGGACGAGGTAGCAGAGGAGATCGAATCGTCTGCAGAGTCTGTGGCGGTGTCGACGCGTGCTGGGCGCGGCCGGCTTCCAGGGGAGCTGGTGTGCTGCGCATGGGCTGCGATGCGGCTGCGGTAGGGGCTCTTTGCGGATGCAGCGGGATACATTTGGGGCTTCGTTTGCATCTGGCGCGAGTCGAAGTGGTAGATGCTGTGTCGGTAGGATGGCGACTGGGCGCTGGAGGGATGTTGTGCGCGGAGGCCCCTGCCTACGCCGGGGATGAGGCTCTCATCGTAGTCTGTCTGCCGACGCGCGGAGAAGAATCGATGGTCATCGGCAGCGTCGTTGTCGTTGTCGCCGTCGTCATTGTCGTTGTCGCCGCCATCGCGGCCAATGCGGTCGTATGTGTCGACGGTGGATGAGGAGGCGGCGGTCTGGTGCGGGTTGGATGCGCGGAGGCGGTTGGCTCGGGCGAGCTGGGACTCGATGCCCCTCCTCTGACGCTCCTCGTAGGACGCGGGGATGTAGATGTCGTGTGAGAGGTCGCGGGCGGGAGCGCTGCCGTTCGAGTTGGGGTAGGGGTTGGAAGGGCCAGCAGCCAGGTGGAGGCCGTTGCGGTAGGTCGAGTACGAGGGGCCTGGCATGGTGGATGCGCAATTGGGCTCGGCGTACAGGGTGCGAGTGGGTGCGGTGATGCGACCCGGTGAGCCGTCGCCGCGTTGAGCCGCCGTGATGGCTGCGATGTGGCGTGGCGGGAGCGAGGTGGTTGCGAGGGGGCGGTGAATAGTCAGTAGTATGGAGGCAGTGCGGGAGGGAATGGGTGATGATGGATGGGGAGGAAAGGATGAGCGAGGCAACGAAGCGTCTGGCCTGGCGGACAGGCAGGCAGGCAGGCAGGCCAGGCCAGGCCAGGCTGTCCCACCCGTTGCATCGCCTGGACCGCCCGACGCGACCCAGCGAGGCACATCACGTGCGATATCGGCCCATGAAAAAGAAGGGTCCACCCAGGCGGCTTGGCCGAGGATCACGACGGATGGCCACCGGCAGGCCCCCCGATTCAGGCCTCTACCGGTAGCCTGCCCGGCCTGGCGTAGTCTGGCCTGCTAAGCCTTTGGCACGCCACGCCACGCCTGGCCTGGCCTGGCCGTGCATGAACCCGCAGCAGGCAAGGCCGATACTATGTGGAGAACGTCCGGCAGGGACGCGGAGCCTGGCCTGGCCGCGCTCCACACAGCCACACGGGCGGGCCATCTGCCTGCGTCCAAGTGATAGAAGAGAGAAGACGGCTCAGCCCGCCTTCGCTCTCTCACGACGACCAACGCCACCGTCGCCACCACCATCACCACCACCACCACCGCCACCGCCACCGCCACCCTCAACACGCCAACGACTCCGACATGGTGCAGGTCGACTCCAGTCCTGCGCTCGATCCGCCCAACAACGCACAGCCAGCGCCCGCTCCATCCTCGCCGTCACCGACCCCGGCATCACAAGATGTCCCCGCCACCCCCGCAGCACCACCGCCAGCACCGCACACGCTCCTCTGGTCGAAATCCAAGGTCTACGTCCACCCCTCGCCCTATGCAAAGCACAACATCCCCGGATACCTCGCCCTCGTACGCCAGGGACCCAACCGCCCGCGCGCAACCATCCTCCTCTCCTTCCTCCCAGAGAGCCTCGTAGAGCAGAGGCACGAACTCGAAAAGTTCGTTCGCATCGAATACACCGCTTCTGCAGGCGGCGACCCGGACAGTCCCGCGAGCAGCGCCCCAAGGACCAGCCTCGATGTCGTCGACGAGGACCAAGACGACGAAGACGAGTCCGAGCTCATCGCAGAGCCACCCGCCTCGGCCAGCTACGCCTTCTCGCTCCCAATCACAAACATCTACAGCTTCACGATAAAGCCCCCCACCATCAGCTGCTGGTACGGCTCCGTCACGCTCAGCCAGACTGGCGGCGTCGCCCTCCCCACCCTCCACTTTCACGACGACGAGAGCAAGAGCACTATCCTCTCGATGCACCGCGCAAGGTCCGCCACCGCCGCCGCTGCCGCACCGTCTTCCTCGTCGTCCTCTCCCAATCCTACCCTCGCGTCGGCCCCCAGCCATGGCAGTCTCGCAGAGACCAGATCCTCCCACGCCGCCGGCTACAGCAACATCTCAAACGCCGGCCTTCCCTCGCCTACGCCCACATGGGGAGGCGACGAACTCCTGCACCAGCTCCGCAAGTACGCAAACGTCCACCGCAGCGTCATCGATCCGTCCCTCTTCCTCGTCAACCCTTCGCGGGCGGATCTCGAGATCCACAACACCCCGCTCTTCGACGACGACGCCATCGACCGACCCAACCAGGCCGGCCCGTCCTCGTCTCAAGCTTCGGGCTCGAGCTGGCGCCACGAGTTGCCCGACGATCCCTTCAATCCGACGTACCCCATGACCGGCTCGTCGTCCCGCACCAGTGCCTTGCATCAGTCCATGCCGCCCAGCGCCAGCCCAAAGAGGAACGACGCATCGATGGACAACCTGACCATGTGGGCCAAAAGCACCCGCCTCTCGGTGCTCTCGTCGTTCGCCAACCTCACCCAGCAGGCGCGTCACGCCTCCCACGCCGTCCTCTCCCACCCACTGGCCAAGCCCTACGTCCCGCATCTACCGGGACCCGTGCAGTCGTTTGCCCAGGCGGGTCCCATTCCGCTCGGGCCCAACGAGGGGGAGTGGGAATGGCGCACGTCGAGGATCGCCAACAACAGCGGCACGGGAGAGTACTACGACAGCGCCCGCGTCTACCTGGCAAAGTGGGCTAGGCTGGTTGCCGAAGAGGGCGAAAGGAACCGGCGGCGCGAGGAGCGCCTCGGCATCGTATCGGATGCCGAAGGGGGCGTTGGGGGCCATGCTGGGTCCCACTCGGCCCAGGGCAAGGATGGACGGACCGAAGGCAGCGAGCTCGGCGCGTTTGAAGTGCTCGAGAGGGTCTACGACTTCCCGCGGCCAAAGTCGGAGCGCAAGGAAAGGCTCCTCGAGCTGAGCGACGTCAAACCGTCGACCGAAGACGCTGCTACAACCTCGCCGACACCCTCGCCCGCCATGGATCTCGATGAATGGCGATCGCTGTTCGATCCGCAGACGGGCGCACCGCTGCACAGCGACTGCGAGATCCGCCACCGCGTCTTTGTCAATGGCCTCACGAATGAGGCGAGACGAGAGGCCTGGCCATTCCTCCTGGGCGCGGTGCCGTTTCAGTCCACGGCCGAGGAGCGCGCGCTGATCTGGCAGCAGCGCGAGGTCGAGTACCACACGTTCAAGGCGCAGTGGCAGACCGACGAGGCGCTGCTCGAGAGCGACGCGATAAAGGAGCAGCGCCACCGCATCCGAGTCGACTGCCTGCGGACGGATCGGTCCCAGCCCATGTTTGCGTCGTCCCCGGCGTCGACTCCAGCCGACACGGGCGATGCCTCAGCGACCGAGAACGAGAACGTGCGCCGGCTCGGCGAGATTCTGTTGACGTACGGCTTCTGGGAGGCCGAGAGCTGTCGTCGCGGCGCCAGGCAAGACGACGAGACGGCCGATGCGTCGCCAGTCGATGGCCCGGATGCCGACCCGGCCACAGCTTCGACAGCGGCAGCTTCACATGTGCCACCAGAAGAGGGCGGTCTGGCAGGATACGTGCAGGGGATGAGCGACCTCTGCTCGCCGCTGTTCGTCATCTGCCAAGGCGATGAGGTCAAGACGTTCTGGTGCTTTGTCGGGTTCATGGAGCGAGTCGTGAGTAGTGGACCGAGGGGCGTTGTCGAGCAGCGAGCTTGCAGAGCACAGATCCGCTGACCGACCCCGTTCCTGCCGACGCGCCTGCCCTGCCCTGTCTCTGCTCGCAACAGAAATCCAACTTCTACCGCGACCAGAGCGGTATGAAGACGCAGCTGCTGCTGCTGCAGAAGCTCATCTCGATGATGGACCCACAGCTCTACACGCACCTCGACCGGTCGGACTCGCTCAACCTCTTCTTCTGCTTCCGGTGGCTCCTCGTCTGCTTCAAGCGCGAGTTCTCGTTCGACGACACGCTCAAGATCTGGGAATGCTTCTGGTCCTCGTCTCCACCGACGGCCGCCACGGCCATGTCCAAGGCCACACCGGCCGGGGCTGCCCGCGAGGAAGGGTGGGGGTTGACGCAACAGCTGCCGCTCTTTATCGCCCTGGCGATCCTCGAGATACACCGCGAGGTGTTGCTGAGGTACCTGGAAAACTTTGACGAGATCCTCCAGTACCTCAACGGGTTGAGTCAGGGCGGGCTCGACGTCGAAGAGGTCCTGGCTAGGGCAGAGGTGCTTTCCCTCGCCTTCAAGGAGGTCGTCGACAGGAGGGGGAGGGGGAGAAGCGGTGATGGTGCGGAGCAAGGACGAGGGGAGGATGAAATGGCCGTCAAGCTCTTGAGCGGCTTCGAAGATCAAGAGCTGGCGACGTTGGCAGGCTAGGACCAGGTCTAGCCCG